CTCTTCATCCTTATCATCATCATCATCCACCTGTCTTCTTCTCTTTCTGTTTGCTCTGCTCACACTGCTGATCCTGACAGTAGTTGAATCACCATTCTGATCTTCATTCACAGATCTGCAAGCACACACAGTGACGTATTTTCATATATTTTCAATATAAGCTGGTCAGAGTCCTGTACGGTTTGATCCCTTACTCTTTGGTCTGGTAGAGTTTGTCTCCAGTGCCGAGTTTAGAGGTCGTGTAAAGCAGTTTGAGCTCTGAATCGGGCAGCTGAACCTCAGCTAGTTTAGATAATATATCTGCTCTCTGCGGAGAAAGAGAAACATACAAATGACTTCTATATAACAAACAGCATCAACTAAACCCAGCAGACACATCAGTCTCACAAACTCTCTCTCTCCTTACATGGGCTTTTTTCTCTTTCAGCTCCAGAACTTTCTCCAGGTTCTTCTTCTGCTTCTTTGTCAGGGCTTTTTTCTTGGCTACAGGATGCTCTACTTTTTGTTTCTTGGTTTTGGTGGCGGGCAGAACAAGAGCGTTGCAGCCGTCTACTCCTTTAAGCATGGCTCCATCTGCACACAATCGCATCACACAAAACACACACATTTGAATTGCTGATATAACAACACACATGTGTGAAAGAGTGCAGACATACTTAATATCTTGAAAATGACACAAAACAAGCTCTACAGCTGTTATGTGATACTTCTACAGTATCGTACCATCATAAAAACCTTCATCTAGATGATTCAGTGGACATTATAATAATTAGTGATGCATCTAAAAACCGAAGCCTTAAAATTCAACTGAAATTAGCCTTTGTTTAGAATAACTAAACAAATTACACTCCTGGGCAAAAAAAAAAGAAAAAAGAGCCAAGCCCAAAATGCCTAAACTCTAAGCTTTTAATGATCTAAACCACAAGTTATTAGTAAGGAAATTAGCAAGAATTAAGCAAATGCACTCCTGTCTCAGATAATGACACCATTAAAAGCTAAATATTTAGTCATTTTTGGCTTCTCCCTTTTTTCGCGCAGGAGTGTATATATTAATATTATAGTATTTTTTAGATCATAATCATCTATCATCACCGTCTGCATTTATGTGCGGTTTTCTGTTTCCCTGTGGTCAGAAACATTTCAAAAGCTTTACTATAATATAATATTTGTCTAAACACTAAAACTTTTACTTAATAATAAAAATAGTCATAATAGAAGTAGTGATAATAATAATAATAATGGAATTTTGCTTTGCTTTGTGGCCATTTAAAATTATTTTTAACAATTATTTTTAATGAAATGTAAGAAATAAAAAGAAACTGATATATAAATGAATAAGAAAAACAACTTCACCTGTAAATATATGCAATCCCCAATGTTCCATGCTTGTTATTGGATGTTAAAGGTGGGGTAAGTGATTTCTGATAGCCAATGTTGACATTTGAAATCAACAAAACAAACACGCCCCTACCCCAAAAGTGTCTCGCCCCTATTTTGACAGCTCCATCCCACACATACGTACGCAACCCAGGCAACGATTAGTTCTGTGAAACAAAGCAAAACTGCTGCTGCGTTCCATTCATGACGTATTGACACAAATTTCAAATGATTTTCAACGGTAGCTTTGTCGCGTCCAGTGTACTAGACAGACTTTAGCTGTTGCGGCGCAGACACGGTGTTACTCACCTATCGAGAAGAAACAAAGCAACCTCGGCGTCCGATCGCAGGCCTTCCACTCCCTGAGTTCTCTCCAGCACTGGAAAGCTGATCCGATATTTACACGGGTCCTACTTCTTGCCTTAAGCCTTCTTTTGTTCCGCAGACGTTTTCCTCTTTTGTTTTTTTATCCACCATCTCCATCTTTCTATCGCTCGGCTCGGCTAATGTCCGTCCAGTGCACTGAATGCGTTCTCCTCCACATCCTGAGTAGTTACGCCCCTTACTGCTGATTGGCTACAAGTTTGTGCTGCTATTCGGCCCGAATCGGTTTTCTAAAGTGTTTTTGAAAAATCGCGTACCCCACCTTTAAATGAATGGTTTCTGCTTCTTATTGCGTCCCTAATGACAACGACTTATATTGTAGAGGTAATGATCGCGCATGCATCTTACCTTGTATCTCCACCTGCACATCTGTCTGTCTGTCTGCAGCAGCTGTCTGCGCAGATGTGCTCTGCTGTCTGCCTTTCCAGTTGTGTTTCTTTCTTAATCTGCCCATGGCAGAACTTTACAGGTCCAAACACAAACCCTCAGAGATGTGAAGCTCAGCAGAGAATGTGATGAGAATCTGTCAAGAACACGACAAGAAACTTGAAATGAAAATAAAATCACAGTGCAAAAATATTTTGTCATTGTCGTTTTATTCAAGCAAATATTTGATGCGTGTTTTCATTTTGGGTTGAAATGTGACATCGATATCCTCCTGGGACTCATAGAGGACATTATATTTTAGTGAATTTCTCTGAGACCCTACATGCCACAGTTTAAAGTCTAGATGTCCTGTACAGAGCACATTCAGGGCTTTTTAGAGATATCAAATGTTTGGAGGTTTAATCATAAACACTCCCTCTCCTTGGTCTTTAAATATGACTGACATTGATAGAATTATCAAATGTAGCATTCTTAGGGAAATATGATAATGTTTTTTAATGATCATTTAAATATGGCTAATAAACATCTCAGAAAAATGTTATGGGGTTACAAATCAGAATATGACTTTTTGTTACGAAACAGGGCATAATTTGCATCCATGTCTTCTGTAGACGACACCAGGACAAATATCATGTTAATCAGGCAAGTCAATAGGGAAA